AGGATTTGGACCAGATGATGCCCATGTCAGTGCTTGGGAATCTTCCTCTGGTTGGGCTTCAAACTAATGACTTAAATATCCTCTGCCTCATCCCCGCTCACGTTGTGTCTCATTCTTTGCGGCCATGTGTCGGGCCTAAATCACAACCGCTGGTGTGAGAATGCACCGCATTCCTTTTTCCCATTTGAATCACGATAAGCACACTCATCTCGTCTCTCAAGTTGACATTCCCATCTAAACCTGGGGTACTAGAATAATGTTGTTATCACCCCGTGGTCAAGCCTGTTACCAGTCGCCTCCCATTCCGACACAGATAGGAAAAATACACACGACACTCACGTACACACTGGCGACCTTTATCTAGCCAGCCTATACCTTTAACCTTTTATTTCATATCCTCCATCTCAGGTGAAACCCCTGGGTAACTTTTTGACCAATTCCACGTTTGACTCCTCTCATTGCAGTCACCTTTTATTATTCAATGCTATGCATGATTAAGTTACAATTCCTTTTGTACTTTGTCTTAATACCAGAGTTTATCTATTTGCCAATGAACAAACTTTATTTGCTTCGACTTGCATACTCCAAACTGACTTTGCTATCACTCGCCAAACGATTTATTCAGGGTAAGGCAATCACTCGTGCTTGCATAGCTTACCTTGGCTTATCAACTCCTTCATATTTATGTTTCCATTTCGGTCCTTTTGCTTTGTGACTCCCCGACATTCTCTTCTGTTATTTTCCGCCTTCTCTTTCTGAATATTCTCAATTTTGTACCATTAAGTCTTCCCTTTACTCTTCGCACAGTCCCGAGCCTCATGCACTATTGCTTCCTCTTGCTCTCAGTTAAGGCCGCTTTGTTACCTATTTATGGGAATGTGTTTGTCCAGACGAGAGCCGCCTGTCCCATAAAGTGTGCTTTGGCCTCAAAATATATTCTTTTGCTTTTTCCATTCAACTCCTTTATTTTCTTCACTCGATTTCTCATTGAGCCTCTGTCGAGTAATGTCATCGTAAAATTTGATCGATATAGCTTTATTGGCTGATTTCTTCCATAAAATTACTTTTAAATTCTTATATACACCTTTCATGTCTGTCCACTTTTGGGCTTTCTTCTTCATATTAGGTCTCTGTGGGATTTATCGCAAGTGTGTCGTCTTTTAAGTAGTCTATTGTCTTTCAAACACAAGTTTTCTGCAGCCTTTGTACAAGAATCTTATCCCAAATGTGTCTTAGTTTTCTTGCTCGTTCTGTTTAACATTCATCTTTCTCATTTCCTAACATTCATTCAGATTAAGCTTTACTTGAACTCTTTTTTGCTGACGACATTCTTCATTACATGCAAAGCCAGCCAAGTGATTTGAACGAGGTCGCAGTGACGTTGAGGCCTTTTTAATGAAATGAACAATCGCAGGTTGCATTCATGTAGAACTGCCGCTCTTTATCCAAGTGAAGAGAGTTTGTCTAGACAAGATCCATTACTATTTTTACTCTTATATTTGTTTGCTCTATATTTCTTCATCATATTCGCTCTCTTTTTATAGTTCTGCTCTATTTCCTCCCCTGCACTTATTTACCTTATTTAAGGTTATCCTGTTGTCGGTGCTCCTGTCAGTATCGGCTATTGGCCTCCTCTGCAAGCAAGCAGTCCCAGTAACGTAGCTGGCATGCTGGGTTCTAGGTCGGTCTCTATCACCTCACATGGCTTTCCTGGACAGGCGTCGCCTCCACCGACCCCGCAACAACCGCCTCAGATCGCTGGAAAACACGGTGTGACTTCGGAAACAGTCAATGGCTCAGGTTGAAAATGCGTTCCTTTGATTTTCTTTTTTTCCTTAGTTAATCGTGACCACGAGCTTCAAAAAGAGATAGATCTGTCTAAATTACACGCTTTAGGCCCCAAAATCAACCAATTATTCGATTTTGGCTAGCTTTTTCGATATAAACACAACATATAACTTTTTTAGTACTCTTTTAGCTGCATTAAATATTTTTTTGGTGGCTAACGATTAGAAGGCATAAAAGAGTGCTTTGACTCCGCTTATTTTTTATTTGGACAAGCAATACATCAGTATGTAAATCTACACAATGTGTTTCAAGGCTTCTCATTATATCAGCATGTCCCTCTCTTGTCCTCATTGTCACAAAATTGGAATTCACACGCACGAGATCACTATTATAATGAGCTTGTTTGCAAAGGAAAAATGGTCTGATACCTCATTTCATTATGCTCTGGAATTTGACTGAAACCTTAATTTTTTGGAAAACTGCAGATAAGTAGCAAAGAGGGAGGTCCTTTTGAGACTGAGCTTTGTCATGCTCATTGTACCATCCCTCTCATTGCACTATTTTCATAGCCTGTCAATTAACGCCTATTGTCAAAGCAAGTCACCTTTATTTAAAAATACCTTTACAAAGGCACTTGGTCAAGTATATTTTTCCGTCTGAATATCTACTGACCTGTCAAAATCTAATTCCTTTTATCATATTAGTGTATTCTGTAATTAGGTTGGCTTAAATATTGTCCTTTTTGAATACTTTTAATTGATTGAGGTTGATGAAGATGCCACTGCTT